CTCCTCCCTTCTTCCATCCCCAGCCCTCCCTCCCAAGCCACCCCACATCCCGCAAATCAAGGTCTCCCATGGGTAGTCAGCAGAGCCCAGCACACTGAGCCTAGCCAGGTCCAAGCCCCTTCCCACTGCACCAAGGCTGTGCAAGGCATCATACCATAAGCAATGGATTCCCAAAAGCCTGCCCATGCACCAGGGATGGATCCCTATCCCCCTGCTTGGGTACCCCCAAACAGTTCAATCCAAACAACCATCTTCTGTATCCAGAGGACCTAGTCCAGTCCCATGGGGGCTCCACAGCCACTAGTCTACAGTTCATGGGTTTCCAATAGTGTGGCCAGTCATCTCTACATCTCTTCCCATCATGATCTTGACATACCCCGCTTGCAGAATCCCTCCTCTCTCTCTCTCTCATCGATTGGATTACCAGAGCTCAGCCTGGTGCCTGGCCATGGATCTCTTCATCTGCATCCATCAGTCACTGCACAAAGGCTGTATGATGACAGTTAGGTTATTCACTAGACCAGTCACCAGAGTAGACCAGTCCAGGAACCCTCTGGACCACTGCCAGCAGTCCAAGGTGGGGTCATCCTTGTGGCTTCCTGAGAGGCTTTCTACCACCCTGCCTTTTCCTATTCCCATGATATCCTCATCTATCATGGTATCTCCCTCCCTGCCCTCCAACTCTGTCCCTGTTTCAGCTCGACCCTCCCATTTCCCTATGTTCTCATTCCCCACTCCTCGCCTTCTGCCACCCCCAACACCCAGTCCACTCATGTAGATCTCATTCATTTCTCCTTCACTGGGTCATCCATGTGTCCCTCCTAGGGTCTTTCCCTGCTAGCTAACCTTTCTGAAGTTATAGGTTGCAGTCTGGCCATCCCTTCGCTCACATCTAGTATCCACTTATGAGTGAGTACACACTATGTTTGTCATTCTGAGTCTGGGTTACCTCACTCAGGATGATATTCAGAAGAAAGAAATTTAAGAACCCACTAGAAGACTGAAAAATCTCTCATATTCATAGTTTTGTAAAATTAATTTTGTGACAGTGATCACTCTATCAAAAGCAATTTACAAATGCAATTTGACTCCAACCTAAATCCCCACAACATTCTTCTCAGAAATAGAAAAAATAATATCTAAAAATTATGTGTAGTCATCAAAGGCCTCAGACAAGCCAAAGTGGTCCTAAACAAAAAGGATAATGCTGGAGAAATTGTTGTACTAGATTTCAGGCTATATTACAAAGTTATAGTAATAAAAACATCATGTGACTGGCACAAAATAATACATTTCATCAATGTATCAAAAATACAGAAGACCCAAACATTAGTACACACTGGAAGAAACCAGAATCTTTGTGAAATAGTGCTGGGAAAATTGGATATCAATAAGTAGAAGAATAAGATTAAAGACATTTCTGTCATTATGCACAAAAATTCACCTCTAAATGGATCAAAGACTTTAATGTGAAACATGAAGTTCTGATACTTTTAGAAGAAAACATAAATTGTACAAGATATAGGAGTAGGAAAGGACTTTCAGAATAAGATTCCAGTCATGCAGGAATTAAGGCCAATAATTGACAAGTAAGACTCATAAAGCTAAAAAGTTTCTGTTCAGCTAAAGGAAGCAATGGATAAAATTAAGAAGCTCACAAGGTGGGAGAGAATCATTCCCAACTATACATTTGAGAGAATATATAAAGAACTCAAAAATCAATTGAGAAACAAATGGTCCAGTTAAATATGGACTATAAGTCTCACCAGTTCTCAAAAAACAAAAATGGTAATGGCTAATAGGTATCCATGAAGTGCTCACTGTCTTTAGCTGTCATTGAAATACAAACTAAACTGCTTTGATATTTTATCTTACTCCCCTTTTATAAATGTTCTTTCCAACTTTAATGTATTAGTTTTGTAAATGGATACCAAAATAGGTATGCTAAGAGGATTTTATGTAAGTCAATGTATCATACTGGATATAATATTTCATTATCAAAATAATTAATTTAAAGTATTAAAATCCATAGAAATTCCAGTCACTGATGATCATGCAACATCATAGAAACAGTTGTTAATGCTTGTTTTATTTTATTTATTTGTTTATTGAAAATAGAAATTTTTTCTCACATGATAAATCTTGATTATGGTTTCCCCTCCCTCTATTCCTCCCAATTCTAATATTCTAATATTATTCTCTAATGAGAAATAGGGTGAATTTAGATGAAAGGAGAGGAGAGAAGAATTATTTATTTTATTATTAATTATGTGTTTATAATATTCATGATGATTTTAAGAACTAGACTGCATGCCTGAGTTGCATATTTGCCCTATTATTTAGCAGTTGTGAATTCAGTTGTCTATCAACTGTCTGAGTCTCAGTGTCCTTACACATAAAATGTGGATAATATTCTCAAGTACTTAAACCTACAGATATTTCTTTCTATTTTCAAGACTCTCTAAGTATTATAATAATTGTAAGTGTCACAGAATATGCATTCCCATTCCAAAAAGAAGACATGAAGACATAGTGAGTAGACATCAGACTAACACAAGACTGAAATCCATCAGGAAAAAATATCAAATCCTATAGCTGCATACCTAGTGTCAAAGAGCTTACATGTCTTTAATCCTCTAGTTTGTTAATTGGGATTTAGATCTCTTTTGAGCTGGTTCAATTCCTGGTATGCAGTTCTCTTCAGCCTGATGATTTGAATTCCAACTCCAGAACCCACATGGTAGAGAGAGCTTACATATGTCCAAAAGTTGTCTTCTGACTCCACATGCATTGTGGCATATGTTGCCTCCCCCACAAACACAAATAAATATTTTTTGAAAACAAAACAAAACCTTCTAAAAACCATTGAAATGTGTCATTCTATTGCCCATATTTTATGAAAACAAACAAGCTAATAAAATTTAAGAAACTCCTAGACCAGTGAGGTAGCTAAGCAGGTAAAGATGACTAACTGCAAGCATGAGGATCTGAGTTCAATTCCCGAAACCCACTTGATGTAAAGAGATACTCTATTAATGAAAGTTGTCTTCTGACTACCACCCATGCTCCATGGCATGAATGGGTATTTGTACAAACATAAATAAAAAATAAAGAAAGAAAGAAAGAAAGAAAAATTAAATAAATAGACAAATGAATAGATAGATAATAAATAAATAATAACATACTGGATCAGAGAAACTTTCTCCTGTAGCACATGAGAAAAAATATAGAGACCCACAGCCTGACATTACACAGAGAGTGAGAGAACTTGGAACTCTCAACCCTACACAGGATGTCTCCATTAAATCCCTCTCTTCAGAGTTCAGGGAACCCTGTGGAAGTGCATGCAGAAAAAGTGTAAGAGCCATAGGTGATGGAGTACACCAAGAAAATAAGCCCTCTAAGTGAAATGGTCAAAGCTCATGTGAAGTCACAGAGACTGAAGCAGCAAGCACAGGGCCTATACAGATCCTCTCTCTATATATTATGGCTTCCGTTTTAGTGTTTTCATGGGACTCCTGAGTGTGCAAACAAGTGGGTTTCTGATTCTTGTGCCTTCATTGGGCTATTTTCATTCTGTTGGTTTGTCTTGTCCAACTTTGATGTGAGAGTTTTTGTTTCATCTTAGTATATTTTATTTTGTTATTTTTTAAAAAGAAATGATTGAAAACCTAGCTACTAAGATAAAGGCTAACAATAGAAATGCCATTTATACCTGCTGAGAGAGAAAAAAATCAGTTTCTCCAATGGAATGACACTGAGTATATCAACTACTCCAAGTCAAACCTCCTGTTTAGGAGTAGGTGACCAACATATAAACATATAACAGTTTTTCTGTGTGTGTGTGTGTGTGTGTGTGTATGTGTGTGTGTGTGTGTGTGTGTGTGTGTGTGTGTGCGCGTGCTTCTATTTGGTTACAGTTTGGTGGGTTTTTTTGTTTGCTTGTTTTTGTGTTTTTTGTGGGTTTTTTTGGTTTTTTGGGCTTTTTTGTCTTGTTTTGTTTTCTTTTTGGGTGTTATTTTACATATTTTCCTTGGTTTGTTCTTTTGCTGTTGTTATATTGAGGTTTTTGTCTGTTTGTTTATTTGTTTTGAGAAAGAAATTAAATTTGGATGGATAGGGATGGGGAGAGGATCTGGCAGGACTTGAGGGAGGTAAAGCATATGATCAAATTATATTTAAATTTAAATTTTTTTGAATAATTAAAATATAACAAAAAGCATGATGGTCATCCTAACTGTGAATAATTATTATAGAACAGATAGGTTATATTTCTACATATTCCCAGGAACTAAAATGGAAAACACTGACTAAGATACAAGAAAAATTGGACCACATTAATACACAAGAATGTAATCTACAGCTGGGTATGATTGTACATGCCTTTACTCCCAGTACTCAGGAGACAGAGGCAGGTGAATCTCTGTGTGTTCAAGTCCAGCCTGGTCTACAGAGTGAGTTCCAGGACATTCAGGGTTATACAAAGAAACCCTGTCGCAAAAGCAAACAAACAAACCAGTATATAATCTACTATTAGTGTACAGAAATCCAGGAAAACAAGATCAATTGAAGTATGTGCTGTTGCTGCATGGTTCCAAGTAAGATATTGACAGACTTTCTTTACCCTGTCCAAACAGACAAAGCCAAAATCTCCCTCTATGGTGCTTTCTATTTTATAATACCATGATTCCCATATCTAACATTTTACAAACTAGTAAACTCACGGTGTTTTATGATTGCTTTATTTGCACCAAAGGTAAGTGAAGGAGCTCCGGTTTTCTGGGTACACTCTCTGGAGATTTTCTAACTCCCACGAGATTCTCCTATTCTCGCGATATCCTCCTTTCTCTCATGAGATCCTGTTTGCATGGGCACTGTAAGCGTCACAGAGGCACCATTAGTCTAAGGGGCAGGGCTAGTACTAGTGTCTCATTCCCTTAACAACGGGTGAGCAGGTGGTGGTATTAGAGGGCTAATCTGAGGGAATAGCCCACTTAAGCATGCAGGATCCCAGCGGGAACAACGGTTGCAGAACAGATGGTGAAGAAGAGGATGGCCAGCATACATCCAGAACCCCCCATGCCCAAGCTAGCTCACAGAGTTCTGAAGCCGAGAATGACCATGGTAACACCCCTCATGAAAGTCAGCCACAAGATTCTGGTAGCCAGGCTGCCCAAGGCAGCCTCGACTCAAGGAGCCCTGTAGAGGCAAGAGTAGTGGCAGAAGAAGCAGCCATAGCTCCTCAGAGCGAGCAGGCACCAATTATCCCAGGACCCAGTGGAGATGCTGCAACAACAGCTGGAAGTCGACTCCTGGAGTTGTATCCTTTTGGGGGAGCACATTGACAGGGACTGTGGCAACATAGGGAGAGCAGCACTCCAAAAGTAATTTGTATGGAAAGTTAATGTGGGGAGGTTTATGGCTAACTAGGAAGGGGATAGAAGGATGTACTGTGGGCAGTCAGTCCTGAGTAGAGTCAATATTGAGGCAGAAGAGGAAATCATGTATGTCTAAGAAGGCTGTAGGGTGTGCAAGACCAGAACCACTGAAGAAATGTCTATGGATTGGGTGTCATTTGGGGGCATGCTAAAGTAAACCTCAGAGGTATAATCAAGACCAATGCACAAAGAAATTCAATAATGGATAGTACCTTGACCATATCTCCTTCTAGTTCTGTAACAGTGCCATTCAGGACTGCTGTGGAGGCAAACATAGCCTGCAGATCCCTGGCCTCAAATGTCCAGCACCAGCAAGTGATGGTTCAGCAAGAGTTCACCGTGAATGACACTACTCTGACTGTGTCAGTTCTCCAAGAGTTTGGAGTGGGGGTGGCTTTAGATTGGGAGGCAATGTGTATTCTAGGTGTTCTATAATGGAGACACTGGTGGATTAGAAGTAATCAGAACACATAGTATGGTGACACTACACAAATTCCTCATTCTTTCTCATGATGGTGTCTCCCCCTTTACTTTTAGTAGGTGGACTACTGAAGATCCTGTTCTCTTCCGAACATCCATCAATGCCTTCCTTGACCAGCTCTCCCTGGTGATGAGGAGTGTCCCACGCCCAGTGTTTATGGCTGTTTTCAAGCAAGGAAGAGGAAGAAATAACGAACTCTAATGTGATACCAACCACAAGACAAGGGAAGGGCATTTCATGATTTGGGAAACTGTCCCTTTGCCTTCATATTCACTGTTTTGATCCTATCACACTGTATCAGTCAGTGTTACTGAAGGAGTGAATATTGAAATAATGGATAATGAAGAAAATAATGTTGAGTTACTGTTTTTATTTTGAGTTATGGCAGAAATCTCCAGGTTTTACTATTGTGCCCTTTGGTTGGAAGGGAAGCTTCTTGGATTCTAATGTTCTAGTACTCCAAGGTGATTGACAATTTAGGAAATGGAAGAAATGAAAATTTTATTTTTTACTATTATTGTGTGTGTGTTCACTCACATGCACTTGTGCATGTGTGTGTGTGTGTGTGCATGTGTGTGTGTGTGTGTGTGTGTACACATGTGAAATGTCACCCAATTGGAGTTCAGAGGATAACTTTTGGGAGTCCTTTCCTTCTACCATGTGGGTTCTTACTAGCAAATTCACCTCATCAGACTTGGGCATCCAGTGCTTTCATCAGATGAGCCGTTTCTACAGCTCTGAAGTCAATTTTAATGTACAAATCAATATGCTAGAGCACTTAACTAGCATGGAAGAGGCTCTTGGTTTTGTTCAGAGCAATGTAAATGAAAAAAAGAGAAAATTTTATAATTGAAATTTAATTCTGTAGTTAGAGTAAAGGGATTTCTTGGTTCTATAGTTGTATTTATGCAGTGATTGTATAGTGGAAACATACAGGTTTTTAGGATTAGTGCTATTTTTTGTTCTTGAAATATTTTTGGTTTATCATACTATCTTTCTATTTTTGAAGAAATTCTTTGAGAAAAAATATAAAAAGTGTCACAATGTAATCATGAAATATGGAAGGTGTTCCAGTTTTATCCTATTGTAAGTAATGCATGTGAACACTTACTTCCTTAAGCTGGGTTCTCAAAGATAGACTTACTGAGTTATATACACTTGACTTGTTTTTGTAAACTTCTTCATATATACTACAAAAGCACTCTAGCATATGCTCTTCCATACAAATTTTGGTTTTTCCACATCCTTGTCACTACTGGATTGTCTTCCTGACAAAATTAAAACCTTTGTATGAGAATTCAACAACACATAAACACCAATGTGAGGGATTTTGTTAACTCCTTGGCCTCACTGCAGATAACTCTGTAAGAATGGTAGAATGTTTTGCTGTGTTTAGGACATGGTGATTAGCTCTATCAAAATAGATTTTTCACAGGATTCTTTCTAAATCCACTCAGTTCTTCAAACTTTTTCTTTTTTGTTTTTTATTGTTTTTCAAGATAGAGTTTCTCTGTGTAGCCCTGGCTGTCCTGGAACTCACTATGTAAAGCAGGCTGACCTTGAACTCAGAGAACCACTTGCCTCTGCCTCCCAAGTGCTGGGAATAAAGATGTGTGCCACCACTGCCTGGGTTTGAACTGTTTTTTTTTTTTTTTTTTTTTTGATTCAGACAAATTTCTCATCTAAGTGAATTCTTCCAGTAAAGTTATTTTTATTTCTTCCATTATATTCTAATCTGAATACCTTTTCTTATTTTTTTCCTTCATTCTCACTTCTATTTTGTCAGTCCTTTTATCTACTCCTAATACTTTGGGGGTGGGAGTTAATGCTGTTCTAAGTGCCTTGACTGCTGCCTCTTCAATAATGACATTTTGTGCATGAGTGGAGACACAAACATAAGCTTCCATCCTGCTCAGGGACTAGACATTTGCCTGTTATCCTGTGGGGATCATGGGTGAAATGGTTCATTTCTGGGTTCAAATAATTTGCTTACATACTGGCCTCAGCAGTGCTCTACTGGAACCTCAAACAGGTCCTTCCATGAGAGTCAGCATTCTATCCCTTTATATCTCTGCCCTCTCCAACTCACAGACTGCAATTTCCTTTTAATATTGGGGGTAGGACTGGTATAGGGTCTGTAACATGGGCAATCAGGAGCTACAGATTTTAATTCCCCCTTTAGGGAGAGAATTAAGGCACTGGAGATTTTAGCAGAGCAGACAAATAAACTGCCCTACTACTCAGCAGTTGCTTTCTGCTACTCTGGCTGACAAGCTTAAGTGGACCAGGGAGATAGGACGTAAGATTTACAACATTCTATAGATGATGAATGAGTTGAAATTATTAAAGATGTGGTTAAGAATACATAGCAGGGAGTGCATGTTCTACCAACAAAAAAAGCACAGAGCATGAGGTATTGATGCTGCAGGTGTGGGTTGCTTTTATGGCCCCCTCTCCCTGAACCACCCAAAGCAAGCCTCTAATTAAGGGGGTAAAGGTGTGCAGGGAACATCTTACATTATTGATCTCTACAACGTACCTGATTGGGGTTTAAGCCTAAAGGATTCAAAGTGGAACAAGCTGTTCACCTTCCTGGGATGATTTTCTATAGGAGGTATTTTGCATGAAAGAAGTGTCATCTCGGGTTTCTGACAACAGCTAGAAGACATGATGACTGAACTATTAACTCTGTTCCAAACTCATAAACATTCAACATCTGGCCTTCAGGCCACTGTTTCTTTCCCCGACTCTTTCTTTTCCTCCTCTTCCACTGGGAGATTTACATTTATATTTCTTTTGAAGCCATATCTGGATTTTCCACAGAAATTGCTTTTATATTAGTTTCTTTAATCCCTCATTAGAACAAAATTCTTCAAAAACTGAGACATCAATTCATTTTTCTACCATAATTACACATTAGTAATACAGAATCTGCTGTGTTATGTAAGATTATCCTTAAATTAAGATACTATACAGTAAATAGGGAAGTAAATCTAATAAAGTCTTACAACGCCTGCCTTAAGATTTTAGTAATATAACATATGAAACAGAACTGAAATGTCAAACTCTGTGACAGACACAGGTTCTAATAATGAGCAAATCCGACTACTATGCCTTCAAATTATTTTTCTGCAAAATAATATATATATATATATATATTATACTCAATTTAATGAAAATAAATATCGAAGTCTAAGTGTAATGAAATTAAGCATGAAATTAAATATTATATTACTTCTTTACTACTATTATATTTTTGGACAACATGGATTAAATATTGTGAGTCCTATATAACTATAAAAACACAAGACATTTAAGAAGTTATCTTTTCATCATATGTAATAGGGATTATCAAAGATTTTATTTTTTGCTTATCGTCTATGTGCCATGTATTAACTGCCATATAATCTTAGATTCAATGATATTTTTAATCATTTTTAATTGTTCCCTCACCTATGTCTTAGGCAATTTCATTACTTTGATAGATTATAAGTCATAATTGACTCAAAGCCCAGTTAGACTCCTCTGTAGTCATCTCATCAGAGGAATACCATTTATCAGCTACTCTGCACTCATAAACTATCAAAATCCATTTCTTCATACTTATCTCTCTCAAATAAATGGATGTATTTACCCATCATATTGTTTTGCACACTGTAGCTAGAGTTTTCCTGCCTGGCCCACAGTCAGGACAAATCTCTCTCACCCGCAAATCCTGCACCCACTCAGACCCTACCAAGTAAACACATAGAGACTTACATTGCTTATAAACTGTATGGCTGCAGCAGGCTTCTTGTTATCTAGTTCTTATATCTTAAATTAACCCATTTCTATTAATCTATAAGTTGCCACATGGCTTGTGGCTTACCGGTATCTTTTACGTGTTGCTTGTCATGGCGGTGGCTGGCAGTGTCTCTCTGACTCAGCCTTCCACTTCCCAGAATTCTCCTCTCTTCTTGTCCTGCCTATACTACCTGCCTGGCTATTGGCCAATCAGTGTTTTATTTATTAACCAATCAGAGCAACACATTTAACATACAGAACATCCCACAGCAGCACACCTAGCCTAATGTCTGACCAAGGCAATCCATAAGGGTTAAGTGACTGAATCCCCCCTGCCCCCCACCAGGGTTTTCTGAGGAAACCAAACATTCATTCACTGTTTTGATTCTACTTCTGCTATAGCATTTTGAAGTGAGACACTATTTAAGTTAGATTCTGGCTGTTTTTTCATTTATAACCTGCTGCATTTCTCTTGATTATTTTAAAATCATAACTTTTGCACATGACTATAAAATCCCTAAGGTCATAAAGTGTATATTATTCAGCTTTAATTTGTCTTTTTAAAGTTTATTGTAGTGAGTCAAAATTTGAGTCCTGTGAGAAAATACTTGAAGGAAAACTAGTAATTACTGTGCTGGTGTCCCTCATGGTAACCCTTGATATTTCAGTACTTCAACAGGCTGGAATACAGGCTTTATGAAAAACACAATTTACTGTTTACAAATTATAATTTTAGCTGTTGTACTTTGGCTTTCTATATTTATTATCTTCAGCAACTCTATCTCAATAATTGCACTTTATAATTTTTACTACTAAACAAAATTTTACTTACTTAACAAAATTAAATGAGTAATGTACTTAATGTCCTGACATACATGAGGTAATTAATATATATTATCTTTATTTTTGCTTATGGCACTGTAAAGAGTATTGCAAATTGCTCTGCACATACTAAACCACACTTCTCAGTATAGTCATTCCAAACACTGAAATCTTTATAAATACTAAATGGCTATTCTAGGATAGACTCTTAAGGGAAATATGGAAGAAAAAACAAGCTAAAGGAAAATTGAGAAAATATAGCGATCTATTTATTAATATTTATGGAAACCTCACTGAGTCTCCATCTGTATTGCCAGTATGTTAGATAGGATGCTAATCATCATTCCTGGATTATTGAAACAACTCTTTTATATAAAATACACCTCAAGGCAAAACAATTAAATCTTCTCATTACTCCTCATTGCCTGGAGAGCATATTAGAAATAATGAAGAACAGGGACAGGCAGAGCTATTGAGCTTCACAGCAACATACTCTTATAAAAATAAAAACAGTGAGGTAGCCCAAATCATGTAAACATAAAACAGTAACAAGAGCAAACAAAACTGTTTTCTATGAATCATTAATTTGTGTTCTG